GAAGGAGGTAGACTGCTGCAAGGGTCCAGGGATTCACCCTGCCCCCTTAGGGCATGTCTTTGTGGCTTCTGTGTTGTTAGGCACCAGAGGCAAGAGTGTTTTAAAGACTTTTTCCAACTCTGTGAGTGCACATTTCTGGACCTCTTGGGTGATTCTATGAAATTTGCGTAGAAAACCCCTAATAGCAATAATGTCTCCAGTGGATTCTCACACACAGTTTCTTTAGTTCTCTATGGAACTTCCTTGGGTGGTGAGTGGTTCTCTCCATGTAGTTCCATGGGTTCTATGTTCATTTCCTTATATAAGGTAGCCCCATAATCTCAGTGATTTAGCACAATTCCTCCTCACGCATCTGGAAGACAGATTTATTGATGTGGATCTATTCCTCTTTTTGGCAGTAATACTTCACCTTTGGGCTTCCTTTTGCCACCAAAGTTTATAAATCAGTGGCATTTTCTTTTATAGATTTTGGCATTGTGTCTATATCTTGTCCCTGAAAACTGTTCTTTCTGTGAATTTTGTGACCTTCTATATGCTATATGAAAGTCAAAATCTCAGCTTTTATAGTAAGAGCCAGATAACCTAATCTTCTTCATGGATCTACATGAAATAATTTATAGGTTAAATAGACGAGATGTTCCATGTTATGAAATAAGTCTGATTTGTTGCATAAACCTCAGATTATCCAGTAACTTAATGTTGAAAACAATTTCAGTTAGCATTTTCTCTCAGAACTAATCATTGTTCCCCGTTCCTGGGCAGCAGAAAAAGGGACCATGCAGAGGTCAATTTGGTCTGCAGACCCAGAGTTCAGTCCTTGAACGAGGCCTCAGGGTTGATTTTCTCATTCCTGATTCTTTCCCTCAGACCTGGAGGCCAGGGACAGGGGCCTGAGCAGCAAGACTCTGTGCATGGAGAGTGAGCAGATCCTCCCGGACGGCTCCAGAGTGCGTCACTACGATGTGCATAGCCTGTACGGGTGGTCCCAGACCCGGCCCACCTACGAGTGAGTCACTTGTTGCCTTCTTTAGTTGATACAGTGGAGGCCAGTGAGGGAGAAGTGTAGATTCTTTCCTTTTCCTTTCACTTATCATTATAATGGATAGATGAATTTAATTATAAGCCACAGTAAATCTTAATGGAAATTCCCTCATGTATACAGCCAGGGCCAATGAGTGTAAGTGATAGAACTGGCTTAAATAATTAAATGGTCCCATCATAGAGAAGCTGGTAATCCAGATGGGGGCACTCAGAGGGACACCAGTCATTACTATACAATGCAGCCAGGCCTATATTGTAATTTCAGAATACTGAAAAGTAACATGAGTGGTAGACACCTTTCTGTTATCTAAAAAGGGAGACATCTCTATAGTTATTTCTCTCTTTTTTATGTATATAATACAGGGTCTACAAGGTCTCACTACACAGATCAGATTCGTAATGATTCTCCTATTCTTAGCCTCCCAAGCACTGGAGTTATAGGCATGGGCCACCATGCTCAGTCTCAGTCACCATCTCAGTGTGCCCCGGGGTCAAGACTGGCATGGCATGCCAGGGATAGAACCCCAGTCCCTGAATTCCTAAGCAGGTGCTTTAATTCGCTGAGCTACCTGAGAGGCCCTTTAATTTTCCCCTTTCTTTTTGCATAATCTATGAATCTTCTGTTGAATTAGCATTTTCTAATTCATGCGGTCCATGAATAATACACATCATCCTGAGTAAAATCATAAAAAGGAGCTTCCCTCTCCCCTTCAAGGATATAAAACCAAATCATGAGGAAATGAGTAGGTTTACTTCGTGCTTACAATTTCAGGATTTCCTTGTGGCTTTACCCCTAGAGTGAGCTCTTTGTGAAATGTTGAAAAGCAGCTCTGTCCTGATCACCTCCATCAGGCTGCACAGGCCTGCCTAAGTTCCAGGTTTTCGTACTGGACCAGTGCCATAGGAAACATTCTGTCACCCTGCCCTGGGCACAAGGACTTTACAGGTTGCAGCCCTGTAGTCTTTATTCCCTTACTTTGGCATCATTTCTCCTCCCTGTTCTTCTGCAACCAGAGCAGTGCAGGAGGTGACAGGCCAGAGAGGAATCGTCATCAC